GGTGGGCACGTTGTCCTACCTCCCCCAGAGAGTGATGAAGGGACACGGTTTTCCGGGTTTTCGGGGCAGACATCCATCGAGCCTGAGTTCCTAACAGTGGCAATGTCACCCTCAAGGCAGCAAAAACTGGAGGGAGGAGGGAGAGTTTCTCACTCTCCTTAGGTAAAGCACATGTATTTATTTAGTACATAAACAGTTTGTGGTATTAAAATGTCATGAAGGTGGTAATTAGAAAAAAGTCTAAGTCTTTGGGGGAGGGGATACACAATAATAAAAAACAAGTTGAGAGACACTCAGGTGCTGAAAATATCTCACATGTAGGGCTTTTATGGATGACCAGTGTTTTGATGGCTGCCTGGGAATCTCACCAAACCAGTATGTATAAGTGGTTTTTTTTATGGAGACTGCCAGCTGAGTCCCACATTTCTGATACACAAATAAACCTTTGAAATGGGCTCGTTGGTGAGGGATGGAAACCCTATGCAGCTCCTCCTGTCATATGGACATCTTAGAGCACAAACATTTGTAGAGCACTTTAATGCACTGGGAATAGAAGAATGAGCCTCTGGCCTTGGGGCCACAGGGATTTACGTGCCAGGAGATTGTGACTTAGGATCTTCCTCTCCTTTGCCCCTGTGCTGGCAAGTCACACTGAGCTTCATGGTGGAGTTAAGCTTGAGTTTGTGTACTCAACACTGTTAAGCACCCGCTAGATTCTGAATGGTTTGGTAAGGTCTAGAAATTGTGCTGTCCGATATGATAGTAGCCAGATGTGGCTATCTGAATTGAGATTAATTAAAATTAAGCAAAATTTAGTCCTTTAGTCATAATAGCCACCCTTCAAGTGCTCACTAGCTTGTGGCTGTTTCAACCGACCACCCCAATATAGAACGTGTGTGAATCACAAGAAGTTCTACTGGGTGGCCCCAGTCTAGAACTTTGCAGCCCATAGAAGATGTTCATATGGCACAGCGGGAAAGAATGTGGTCTATGAGGTCAAAGCCAAATTGGGATCCTCGCTTTGTCACTTACCCTTACCTCCCAGCTTTATGATATTGGTATATATAAATTTCTTTTTTTTTTT